AAACTAATGTTACTATTGTAATTAGTTTGAGCAGTACAAACACGTAGGAGGTGATGCAAAGTCAAAAAGCATCTGGATAGACAAAAACATCTATTCTAAAGCAAAGATCATAGTGTTGAATTCATTGGCCTTCTTGGTGTTTTTGTATGCCTGTAGGCATTAACAACAGAATTATAAAAAAATGAAATCATTTTTTTCTTATTAGAGATGTAAAAGTTTTGTTTTAATCCTTATCTTAAGTACAAACAACATTAATACACTTCCATAACTGATATGAAGATCATTCAGTGGCTCAAAGATCACAAATGTCTGCTTGACACTATTGTGCAAACCCACTGTGTAAATGGTAATAATAATTGTTTCCTTATAAGAAAACTTTCAGCATCCAATGATTGACCAGCCATTGCTTACTTTTGGTTGAAATTTATTAAACTCCAAACACTTCTTGTATTTTCCAAATAAATTATCTGGACACTCATTACACACATCTGTAAACAGTATACATCAACATTTGGCTCTAAGCTCACAATCTTACTCAGTATTGCTGTCTTTCATGTCTCCAAAACCTCATAAAAGCCAGATAATAAATAATACTCGTTTTGTTGTTTCCACATATTGCTGTTTCTCATTTTATGAGTATCTTTATATATATAAATGTTAGAGGGTTTATAATTATTTACTCAGAGTTATAACTCCCCTACACATGGTTGAATATAGGACAGGGGTTAGGCATATCTAACCTCCTGTAATATTTCTTCTGACAGCCTGCACCACTGAAGACCTCACAGAATTTACCATCTTGCAACCATTTTAAAAATATTTTTCCTTTGGCACAGGAGAGATCTTTTATAAAAAAAAGCACACTGTAGCAAAAAAATAAAAAGGCTTTAAACTTATTGTAGCAATCATTTGTCATCCGCGACCCTTGTAGACAATTCAACACAGTAGTCAACCATCTTTTTCCTGCCTTTTTCTCTGTTGCTCCATTCTTTTCATTTTTATCTATCACAGTCAGACAAAATAAGCATATGTGCAAAGATAATCTAGTGAGAGAGTATCTTGCTGCTAGATCTAACTATTTTTAATATGTGACCCACAAAGCCACCATTTCTTTCTCTGTTGGACAGTTTACACTGTAAGGCAGGTTTGAATCTTTGCTTGTGCTGGAAGTAAGTTATTCTAGAGTTTATTCTAAAGTTGCAAAAAGTACATGCAACCCTGGGCTTCTTTGCCCTCTGCAGCAGTTCACTACACACATTCTGCTACTTTAATAAAAAAAAAAAAAAAAAAAAAGAAGCAATTTAGCTAAATGAAAAATGTATAGAAAGTGCTTTAATCACTAGATTGTCTACAGTAAATTTATGTCCAGGTGCTTACAACATTCCATCATTCATGGCAGATCTTCTGTTATCACAATGTGGGATATTTAATAACAAAACTGATGGAAACATATACAAAAATGAAAAAAGAACTTAATAAAACTGATTCAGATATATACCAAAAACATATATGCCAAGAATAAAAACTTTAATTTTAAATATAAAATTCTAAGCGACCTGTTTTACAAAGTTGAAAATTTTCAAAACTGTATCTCATAACCAGTAACAGCAAAGATGGCTAAATCTTAAAAACATAATTTATGCAGATGAAAAATGTGTTGATGGCAAACACAGACAAGAAGTACCTTGAGGCAACCTTAATGTGGTTCTACAGAGAGATGCTGAGAATACCATAAACAGAGCATATGAGTAACAAGTAAGTTCTAAGGATAATGAAAACAAAAAGGATGCTTAAACTTAGAATCACAGAGTTAAAATTTCTAGGACATTTAATGAGAAAAGAAGGTTTGGAGAATTTAACACTTACAAGACATACTGAATACAAGCGGGGCAGAGAAAAATAATGAATAACTTAACTAATGGGCTTGTTTAATTGATTTGATTTGCTTGTTTAATGGCATATCAACTCCTTATGGGTCAATTAATACAGAAATTTAATTTTCTTGGGGGCTTTAAAGAGAAATCAATTTACTTTTATATAAAATTTTGTAATACTTGATTTTCAATGCCTTTTGAGATATATCAATTTAAATACACTAACATCACATATTTGGGTTTTGAGCAATTTCGTTGGGGGTTACAGGTATTTAACAATTGAAATCTCTTCAAGGTTGGTAGGCTTAAGATGGCTTAAAAGAAATGAAAATATAGTCTTATTTATCTTATGCATTTATTGTTTTACTTTGAGCTTGATTGGCTTACAAGACCATAAAACACTTCCAATCTGGCCCACTTCCAAAAAACGTTTGCTGATCTTTGATATACAGTATGAGTGAGTAGAGTGTAGTAACTGCTAACATTAAAATTCTAATGACTGTGACTGAGTGAAAAACATGATAACTAATTGTAAATTTTGTTTTGCATCTAATTAGTGCAATTAACTATATAGATAATGCTGTCTGTGTCTCAATGCAATTGAAAGAATTTTTGTCCGTTGTCTTATTGACAAGAATTGTTTCCTTAGATACTACTTGACTAGATACAATTAATTAGAAATGTCCAGTTATATGTAATCACATATGTGTACTTTGTGTATGCATGTAGAGTTTGGCATAAACAAAACAGTCTTTTATTGATATTCATTAATTTGATATTATATTGCCATTATTGATATTTTATTGACACTTATGTTATGTTTATGGATATCGCAGTCAGATATTTGAGTAATGAAGGTGGACTTACATGAAATAAACTCATTTTCCAACACATTTACATACTCACATACATACCATATAAAACATGTCCAAACTTTATTTTCTACCCAATAACAGACAATATTTACAAACATGCCAAAAAGATTTCACAATACAACATACAAGAATCAAAATATCTATTGGTTGGAAATTAACCTCACTATATTTGATTAATCAGAGGAAACTTTATTTTTCTCAAACCTACTCCCAGGAAAAAAATTCTTATAGAAACCCACAGATTTTGACTTTCATCAAGTATAGGTGTGGCTTGTCTCTAAGCCAAACACAAGAGAAGTGTGGCTACATAGTTTTTTTCCTTCCCCCACGGTGCATGCTGAAAGAAACATATATTGGTGAGTTCAAACAAATCAGCTACAAAAACAGCAGATTGAAAGGTCAGTGAATCATCACTGATGATTCTGAGTTGGGGACTTCAAATGAATCATCTCCAGCAACAACAGTTGGTCAGTGAATCTTCGCTAATGATAAGTTTTTTCTAAACCTTACCTTTTTCTGTGTACCAACTACCTAAAGGCTACTAAAGACTATTCTTATTACTTTTTGACTCTTGAATTCATGCACATATGATTGTAAATACAAATGATTTACTCAACTGCCATTTCAATTGTTTCTTTAATTTTATTTTATTATGGTTTGGAATTTGGACATATGGATATTTAATACAAAAAAAAAAGAACTGGATGACAGAATTTCCTGAAGACTGCATTAAGGAGAATGGAAGCAGACTCAGTGTGGGAAATAGAAACAGAAGGGCAATTACATTTAGCACTTGGAAATATAGGGTATGCTTGGGCAAAATTATTGCAAGAAATGTAAAGTGTCCCAAATTGAATAAAGGGAGATTATATAGGATCATATCTATCATAATTTTTATTTCAAACAGAGTTCAATTAACTTCCCAAAACAACACAATATTATTTTTTTTTTATTAAATTTTGCCCTCATGACCAGATTTTCCATCTTGAAAATGAGGATTTTTAGAGTAGGCTGATGACTTAGTGACTGAGACAAAATAATTTCCCTACATTACAAAAAAGCCATTATTTTAAATATGAGGAATGTTTCAGGATTTGTAAAATATTGACCCAAATTCAATAAACAGGAATTACATAGAATCATTACTATCACATTTTTATCTCTGATAGGGTCTGCTTAATCCCCTTGATATTAGTGTTAGTTGCTGATTAGCTCCCAATAGAGACAGAAGTGGAGGAAACAGATATGATAGCTATAAATGTTTTAGGAAAATGAGTGAAAGGCATGAACCCTAAATAAGGAACATAAATATATGACCCAAAACTTCTATATATTCATCCTTTCACATACTGCTTGCTTTTTCATATATGCTATAATTTGTCTGTAAGACAAATTGTTATATATATATATATATATTTGTCTATAACATATTTCATGACATGTTTTTATATTCTTGTACTATGTATTAAGATGTTAGTATATTCCAGATATAGTAATGTCTAATGTGGGCCTTGGAGAGTGGGGAAAAACAAGATAATTCTCCTTTCTTTCCAAGCACCATTATTATCATTCTGAGAATTAGGATTTTCATGGCAAGTTGACAACTTCGTGGCTTACACCAAAATTTTTCTTGAAGCCGTAGAGTCATATAGGATCATACAATAAAAATTTCTTCTGGTGTATGAAATTTTTACAGGATATTATGCACTACAATGTTGTTGTTGTCAGCATAAGAGAATGACTAATAAATCACCGAGTTAGGCATGTATTTTGTCAATATTAACAAACAAATATATGAACATGCCAAGAGAAAAATTGTTCTTCACTATTAGGTTTTTTGGAAATTTTATTTTCTGAAAGAAAATAAAACCTGCTGCAGCAGTATTTTCACTATTGTCTGAATTAATAATGAAAAAAAAAAAGAAAAAATATGCAAATCAGATTCAATTACAAAGAAAAATATTTATTTTTAACAAGCTAAATAAGGGTTCTTGCAAAAATTTGTCCCTTTTTGCTGAGAATAAGATAACCTTTTCTCTGAGTAACACAATGTAAAAATAACATAACAAAAAACAAAACTTAAAAATTACAATGCACCAAAAACCAAAAAAAAAGAATATTGCCCATCTGTTGTGTCAATGTTAACCATAAAAAAGTGGGGGGAGAGCCATAGCTCTACAGTACACTTTCAGTCCTTTCAAGGTTCAAAAGTTTTTATCTTTTTCCTTTTCTCTCTTGTGTAGACAAAGTTATGTTCCTGGTGACCAAACTCATTTCTTTCTTCACTTATTTCCCTCTCGTCCGCCTGGAAATTACGCCTTTCATTTACGGCCGCCAGAAGGTGAAAATTTACTTAAACACGTGATAAAATGCTTTTTGAAAATGCACGTGTTTCTCCTTCTTCTCAAACGACTTTAGCTCCAAACTCCACTTATGGACTTCGTTTCAACTTTCTTTTCTGGGGCTTCTTTGAGAGGACTTCTCAAAACATTCTCTGAAGGGGAAACTTGCCCTCAGCAACTATGTTACCCATGCATTCTTCACTTATGGGCAAACACTGCCTGCCTTTTCAGCAGGGAGAGAGAAAACGAACCTCTTCTCTCTAAGCTGTCTTGTTTCCAACTGCTTGTAAGGTTGGGTCCTAGTTCTCTCTTCCTTTTCAAAGTGTGGGGGGGCGGTTCACCTTTAAACCGTCGAATCACAGTCCATTAAAAAATAAATATCAGCAGGTTCTTAGGGTCAGTAACACAATGAGTGTCTTTTGTTCTCCCTTGACCTAAAAATTTTCAAAGGTTCAGTGTTTTGTATCAGAAGTACATTTAAATAAACAGTCTTTATATAAACTTCCTAAAGTTCTAAAGAACTGGTCTAAGCATAATGGATAAGAAGTTTATTTTAAAGCAACTTATTCTACATAAAGCAATCACATCCTTGAATTCTAAAGAATTGGTCTAAGCATAATGTCTTGTGTGTGTGTGTGTGTGTGTGTAGAAATGTTGGGAATAAAATCTTTACAATGTCATGGAGATGGAGAGAAAATCACAATGGCATTCTGGTGAAGGAGCCTTTTTCTAATGAGAACGTAATGTAATTGTATCCCTATGAGTGGCAAGAGTTGATGAAATCAGTATTTTTTTTAAAGATTTACATATATACATGTGTGTGTGTGTGTGTGTGTATATATATATATATATATATATATATATATATTACTTCAACCACTGGGAACACATGGTCCAGTGGATAATGGTGTTGGCTGAAGAAATCCAGTGACTTGACCCAAAAAGTTGTGAACAAAAAACTTGGAGAGTTGAGTTACTAAAAGTGAAACAACTGAAACTGAGATATCCAGAAGAGGCATGGCACATGGAACTAGAACAATCAACCCCCATAGATGAAATAAAGTGTTCAATTTGAAAATTCTAACATATATCACCTGAAGAAGTCTGTCATGTACAACAATTGAAATGTTGTGAATATGTCAATAAAGACGAGGATAACAGTCTGAACAATGTAAATAGCGTAAATTATATGAATGACATTTGAACCTGGGAGATACTTTTCTCCTTTCGTTACATTATTTGCATTCTTATTCACAAACATTCTTTCTTACCAAAACCTGTCATTAAGCTTTTGTTTCGATCAACATAGATCAATTTGAAACTGATTAGGATCTTGAGATAGTGGTGGTTGTAGTGGAACATTTTCTAAAAAATCAGGTCCTAATATATGATTCAAGACATTTATTACAGTATAAATATAGAAAAATATGACTGCAAAAATATCTTACATTATTGCTCTACAATCTTCAAAGTTTTGTCAATCTTATTTTGTAATCATTGGGAAGAGAGAGAAAAAAAAAATAAAAGATAGAAAATTCTTATATCCAAGCATCTATTATAGAGTTGGTTTTTGCTTTAGAAAAGTTTACTATCTTAATATAAATATTCTACTAAAAAACAAAAAAAAATCTCACATAATATAACTCATGACAGACAAAGAATTCGGTCTTCATTTTGAAGACAGTATTGATCTGATAGGAAGCACCAAAGAAGAACTTCAAGACTTTATAACTAGAAAAAGGGGAGGGAAAAAAATTTACATTACATAGAATGGAAATTTGTGTATAGCTTCTTGTCAACAGAGAAAGTAAACATGAAGCAACAGAATTGGGTTGAATGGACAAAGACTGCAAGAGGCTGACAGCTTCAAACTTCTTAGAATATAAAAATGATAGAATCAACTGAAGAATTCTAATCAAAAGATTCCTTCACCAGCTGCTGCTGTCTCAAAAAAAATGAATACTATTTGGTAAAAACCAGTTTTATCAGTTTCTTAGAAAAGGTTAAATTATTCCTGTCACTGGTAGAATTCTTTTTGAATGGATAACAAAAACTGAACCCAAATACAAAATACAGAATTAATAATTCAGACATTTCAAAGTTGCTTTTTTCTTAAAAAAAAAATAACAAATTAGAAAAGTAGAAAAAGCAAGCAAGCAATGATTTGCTATATAAGAAAAACCACCATTTCTTGTACTCATTAAAGAATGATTGTATTATGATCTGATTAAACTATTGTCTTTTTAGATTAGTTTATAGAAGTGATGTCCTTGAAAAAAACAGTCAGCATCAGAGGTCACAACATCATAAACTTTCACTTTGCAGACAGAATAGATGATTTAGAACAGGGGTCAACAACTTTTTACTGACCATGTGCTGACTTAGGATTTTAAAATCATTCAGTGTGCCAACAGCATACGTATTTTTTTATTCAAATCAAGGTCAATATAAGTGTTCTGCAATATATTTTATATAGTAATATATACAATAATATGTAAACCACATTAATAGAAATAAACTTTTTTTTAAATTTTTTTATTATTAATGGGAGCCCAACAGGTGACCAGTCTTGAAATAGCTAAATATCTTCTTTGCATTGTTGTAGTCATTGGTTCGGACTTTGTAATGTCATTTGCGGCTGCGTGCCATTGGAAATTGCATGTGAGGAACTCATGCTGTATGTTGCTGACCCCTGGTTTAGAAGATAAAGTAGAGGAACTCAACCAAGGCCGGGTTTAGGCCTTAAGAGGCCCCTGGGCTGATAGAATTTAGGAGCTCATTTGTTAGTGTTTTCGTCCACCACCCATATTTTTAGATGATGATTTTTTTTGTCTGAATTGTTTCAAATTAGTTCAAAAGAAGCCCCATTAATTCTGAAAATAAACAAAGCACCTCTTTTCTTATATCTTTATTTTCTTTTTGTTTTATGAGAGTCTAAAGATCCTTTATGAGAGTCTAAAGATCCTTGGTGAGCCCCTCAACACTTGGGGGCTACTGATTTGTAGCCTGTACTATCCCATATCTAAATCTGGAACTGAAATCATCAGTCTGTTGAAGGACATTGATGAAATATTCTCCAAATGTAACATGGAGATTAATGCTGAAAGAAACAAACTCACAATGAACGATAAAAAAGGGCTTTCAAACAAGATAAAAGTCAATGGTTAGAAACTTAAAGTAGTGAACTAATTCAAATACCTTGACTGATTATTGATGAAGAGGGCTCCAGAATAGAAAGAGTAACACAAAAAATGGCAGTTGCTGCAAAAATAAGAACCTTGGAAAGACAAAACCATCTTTATAAAATCAAAGATCTGACTGTTGCATGCATTGGCACACCTGTGAATCTTAGACATTAAGAGCAGAATTACCTGAGATGTTACAGAATCATACTAGGTATCTCTGTTGGGCACTTTGACATGGTGTAATGTTCAGCAAATTTGGTTCACTAGAACAATTATGATAGAATAGTGAGTTCAATCCTCATTGGGTGCCCCATACTATCAGCCTTGTACCATATCTAAGCTACACTTAGAAAATCAAAGGGCAATGTTGTGTAATGGTTAGCAAGCTGGAACAAACACGACTAAGAAGTGAGTTCGATGCTCACTAGGTGGCCCAAACTTCTAATCTATGGTTAGAAAATCATCATACTAGATATCTCCTACATAGACCACTTCACAAATGAGACAGTGCAAGGCATAATGAGAGTTGGATGACCTCATATTCATCATAAAGAAGAGAAAATTTGAAAAGGTACTGCCATGTTATACGAGCCAACAATCTTTCCACTGCCATTCTACAAGGTACCACATTAGATAAAACAAGAGGCAGACGGTGGAAAAAATGGGCTGACAGCATCACTGAGATGATTGAAAGATCATTCACAGAGATTCAGACATTGGCACACAACTGAGACATATACAGGGAGCTGGTCAGGAGCTTAGTGACTCTATGACAACTGATCATGGAACTGATGATGACAATATAAACTATATTTAGACAGCAAGGATTCAACTGACAAGATTCGTTTTATTACCAATAACTTGGCATCAAAAAAATCTTCCCAATGTAAAAATGGTTTTTGGCCACATCACATTGAAACAAAACTTTTTGTATTATCACCAAAGTTAAGCAATGTTGAACCTGGTCTGTACCTAAACTAGAGTTCAAAAGTTTGAGACCAAACTTTGCAAATTTTTAAATTGGCCCAAAAAGTAGTTGTTTGTATTTTAAATAAGAGAAAATTATAAATGATTAAAAACAAAATTAAGACATGATTTTTCATTAGAAACTTTATTATGACAAAAGGAAAAAAATCATTTTATGATTAAATTTTGCTCTTGTCAAAATATCCTTCTTTAACCTTGATTACTGCAGCAGAAATTTTTGGCATTCTTTGCAAAAGTTTGTCAAAGTATAAGTTTGATAATTGATTGCAGTTTTTTTTTCAATGATTCTAAGAAGTCTTTTTCATTTTCATTTTACTCTTCTGTTAAGTTCATCCCATGCTAATTCTGGTGTGGCTTCAAACTTTTCAACTGTAGATGGGTGATGACTTGGGAGTACCAGGTGCTGTAAACTTGGATGTATGCATGGTATAATGTATAATGGCGCAGAATTTTTAATTGGAGAGTTGAGTTTCAATTCCTGTTGTGTTCATTGTATTCACTCGGGAAACGTATGAATCCATCTCTTCTCCCCCCAGCTATTGGTTAATTAGTATGTTTTCTGGCTTTAAATAACCTGCAAAGGGTTGATAAACCATAGAAAACAAATCAAAAATTATTTAGAGATTTAGACATTGGTATACAACTGAGACATATACAGAGAGCTGACCAGGAGAGACCCTGTGACAACATCTGGTCATGGGATTGATGATGATGATGACTATATTCATAAAGCAAGAGTTCAACAGACAAGATTTGTCCATCTAATAATTTTTTTACCAATAACTAGGTAACTAAAAAAACAACCTTGCTTTTGAATTCTTACATCATTTGAGAGATTGCATCTTTAATATCAATAATCAAAAAGCATTAAATTCTTACATTGGCCACACATGCACTGCATTCTCTTGCAGAAACTTAAGCTGAAAAAATAAAAATATGGGATAAAAAAAAATTGATTTATGCCAAAATAAAAAAAGAATTTTGATGATCCATATATCTGGTGAGTGTGGAATGAAAACCACTAAATCCATGCTTCAATCTCAGGGGACATTCTTTGTAAACTTTAATTTCTTGATCCATGAGAAATCTATAGAAATTGGGCAGCTTTATATAA